GAACATCGTTGTCTTTGATGGATTTGATTGACTTGGAAACTCTTTAAATTTCTTAAGGTGTTCCATTCGTTGTTCATTGAATTTTGTAAATCGAGGCATTATTCAACTGTCCTTCTGCCAAAGACATTGCTTTCTTTTGTCGTTCCGAGTTAAGGTTGTCTACGACAAGCTCATTGCATGTCCTGCGTCATGTACGGGCTTTGTGATCTCAGTCACGTCGCAGTCGTTTCTCATGCAGCGGAACATGTCATACGTTATGTTCCATGTTTCGAATTTTGTTCCACTACAAGTATTATGTTCCATGTTTCAAATTTTGTCCAACTGGAAGTGTAAACATGATTGTGAAACCGATTGGTGGATGCATGAGAAATGTCATCTTATGTGAAACTGGTCAGTGGATGCCCAAACCTTTTTTGCATTACCATTTAAAGTGCGGATATTCATCGTGAATGAGCACAATTTTAAGTTCTACACTTGTACATAGAATATCGAAATAAAGTGGTTATTAAAATACACCTTGCCCATCACAACTGTGAACAAGTGTGTTCCTCAGTGCCCTCATGTCGGGCGGGATGATGACCGTGCCTTTATGCGGAAGTCCGAATCTCTTCAACATCTAAATAATCGTCTCGGGTGAGACGATGGGTGTGCATGCATAACTTAGGGATAACCTGGTAAACGAAAATTTGATGTGTTGACCAACAACGGTTCGATCATGAGACCTTGCTCATCACATACGTAAGCTTTGACTTTAACAAGTATGGATCTCGACACACTCCCGCCCATTGTTAGGGTCAAAAGTCTTTTGAACAAGTCCGGATCTCATCATACATCTAAACAAACGTCTTCAGCAAGACGATGAACCTTCATGTGTAACTTTGGGATAACCGAAAGAATTATACTGAGTCTCTCCAATTCAATTTGATTACATTTCTAATTTTGCTTACAAAGTTCAACAACTATGGATGTCAGTAAACTTTCGCATTTGGGCTGAGTGGATGGGCACGCCTATGTGGAAACACTGCAGTAAAAAACGAATTCCTAAGAAAAAGGACAGTGTCACAATATAATATCTTTCATCACATTTATGAAATTGAAGTTTGACAAGTAAGGATCCCGGCACACTTCCGCACACGGTTCCCTGTGTGGCGTGCCAATCGTTATTCCAGCACGTTTTTGAAGTTCAACAAGTAAGGATCCCAACACACTTCCATACAGGGTTCGCGGGTGGCGTCACTGGCGTGCCTGACATGTGTGGGTCTCTACACGCTTCCGCATTTGGGATTTCAGTTATAAAGTTTTACAAGTGCGGATCTCAGCACTCTTCTGCATGTGGTTAAGCCCTGGATGGGCATGCCTACGTTGCTTAGGCTGCAGCCACAAATGAACTCGTTGAAAAGAGGACATAGTATAATGTCCTATTTTAACGAATAACATGTTAAAAGTAAAAACCATCATTCGGACCCTTCTAAGGTTCTACCTTCTTCCCCCAAATACAACGTACGGTCATTATAGATGTATTTAGACAAAAAGATATCCCAAATTCAGCTGTAATGACCGTAAATTGTATTCGGGGGAAGACTTTAGGTCCACAGGCGAGGAGCCGTTCATGACAGTTAACCCCAATTTCAAACATTCCTAACCCTGAAGACTGGAGTCCTTTTGGCTTGTTTTTACGGGATTATTAATCTGGCACTGTTTTGGGCGGAGATGGATGAACCCTTTGGGGCCATCACTACGAATCTGGCTCTGTTTATGCCGACTTCGGTGTGGCGTCTTGATGGGATTATTAATCTGAACCCTTGGGGCAATTTTTTTTTTTTTTTTTTTTTTTAACGGAGCAATGTCTTTATAAAAGTCGGGAACCAGGCCCGGCATCCCTTACAAAATTAGGTGGGGCCCTCAGTGGGCAAGGCATCATCGGCCAAGCACATAGAGGGCACCACTAGATTTGACCCCACGGCCAACTCCAGTTACTCCACAACCCCAACAACTCAAAAAGTGAACAAAAATTATCCTCGAAATCTAAGTTATTTCTAAGAAGTGAAAATAATGAGGAGTTCGCACTGATCACAACAATTCCTACCTATACCTTCCCTGAGTAGACAATTAACAAAAACTATCTCAGTATACGGCTTATATGCTTATAAATTACAAATTCCTGCTACGCAGAGACTTTTCAGTTCCTAATCTAAATTAGAAAATTAACGTATTCAAACTTAGATGAGCAAAAGCGAAGACCACCCAGGATGGTAGGCTCTATGGAGGAGGTAGAATCGAGCCCAACATCTCGGATGATACCCACTGAAAAACAGTCACAACCATTCCTACCTATACCTTCCCTGAACCTAATTAACAAAAACTATCACCAAAAAAAATTCAACTGTACACCTTAGTATGGGGCCTATAGGCTCATAGGTTACAAAATTCCTTCTTTGCAGAGACTTTTCAATTCGTAATCTAAATTAGGAAATTCAACGTGGTTAAACTTAGATATCATTGAGCAAAAGCGAAGACCGTCCAGGATGGTAGCCTCGACAGGGGAGGAAGCATCACGCCCAACATCTCGGATGATACATTGATACCCTCTGACCAGTCAATGAGAAACAAGCCATCAAACCGAGGGAAAGCTGCTGGCATGTGCGGGCGAGAGAAATTATAATCACAACAATCGTGACAACCCTAATTAGGTGACCCAATTTTTACTTACCATGAGGAAAGCTTCAACCAACCCAAATCTCACAAACCGCCAGCAATTATCGGGATCCACCAATAGAATCGAAGGATGAAGTACATCTCACAAACCGCCAGCAATTATCGGGATCCACCAATAGAATCGAAGGATGAAGTACAGTGGACTAAAAGACTGGCAGTCATAAGAAATTCGCACACAAAAATTTCAATTGTATACATTAGTATAGGGCCTGATAGCCTATAGGGTTTTAAATTGCATAATTCCTTCTAATTTAGGAAATTCAACATGGTCAATACTTCAGATGAGAGAAGACCGTCGAGGATGGCAGACTCAATGGGGGAACAGCATCAAGCCCAACATCTCAGATGATCACCGCCGGCCACACTACAAGAAACCACCCATCAAACCAAAGAAAAGCAGCCTCAAACCCACTACACCAACTTGAGTCTTGAAAACCAAACAAAACCGGCATCATTGAAGCCCAAGCAGCCG